ACAAAATGCTAGTAGGAAACTCTAATCTAGGTCTTAATTAAAAGATATGTTTAAGTAGGTTAACATTTTCTAGCTATAACCATAGCCAGACTACCTACCTGCACTTTTTAATGCTGTTATGCTTGTTTCTATTCACTGATCTGTTACACCTATTTGTTGCTTTTGTCAGAATTAAGCTAAAAGCTCTTCCAGGCAGTGACCATTTTCCTCTCTGTCTATTGTCAAGCACAATGAGGCCTCAGTCTTCAATAGGTCCCCTAGGTGCTACCACAGTACAAACAACCATGAGATGGTGATGAACCAAAAGAATGGTTGTAGAGGTATGGGTTTAATAATATAACTTTGTAATGCATCATAGATGCCGCTCTTTCTGTGAATCAGTTACAGCTCAGAAAAAAAGTTCTTTAGCTGCAGCATCATGGATTACAGATGGACCTAGGAACAGAAGGGACAAGCTGGATAGAGTGGTGATAAATCCTGGGGTGAAACAATATCATCCACAATAGTAAATGTAGAAGTGATGCTCTGCAAAACACACTGCTCTGATGTTGAGGCCTTCTCTCTAGTGGGGAAAAATCTGTTAAAACAGTTGCAGTTTAGTGTGAACAAGCTTGTCTACGCTAATAGCTTAATACATGCCAAAACCCCACAACTTTCTCTCTTAAGTCGCACTTAACCCAAGAGAGGTTTCAGAGTGGAAGAGGGAAGGACAGAGCAAAGTACAAATCATACCCTGCTCCCTCCCACCACTGGTACGTTTTCCAGAAACAGTTTCAGTGCTTACACCAACAGAAGCACAAGAATGGAAGGCCAGGGCCGAATAGACAAGTAGAAACAACACGCAAGAAAGCTGAACAAGTAGGTGCTGAGTTACACGAGATGAGACGTGTATAAGAGGACCACTGTTATTCTTTGGGGAGGGAGAGAAGTAGCAGGGATACAGTCAGCAAGAAAACACCAATGAGAGAGAGAGAGAGAGAGACATTTAAAGCCACAATGAAGTTAACAGCAGAGGCAATTTGCCCGAAGGCACTCTTAAAAACCACAGGAAAAGATTTATATTTTCTCGATGTAAGGTGGCTTTCCCCTTTTGCAAATAAACGAAGTTAACAGCAATGTCTTGACTGTTTTCAAGCACATACTTGAAAGTCACCTCTTTCTGACCCACTGAGGCAGAGGTTCTTAAATAGCAGTCCATGGCTCCCAGAGCACTTGCTAAAGAAACCTAAAAAGCTGGGTGGTCACATGGTTCTGGCTCATTTCCAGTTTCTCAGCTGTGTTAAAACACAGCTAAGAATACTGAAGCTGCTATAATAATGGTTCTGTATGCCACCACAGATGGGAAGGGTCCACATGTGGGAGATGCCGTACACCAACATACAGTCCAGATCATGGTCATGTCTCGAAGTTAAAAAGAGCTAATGTGACTGAAGAAAGCACTCTTTTTATATATGAACAGGCTTACCAAGAAGGTGAATAATCTCTGTACTATGTACTAAAGGTGTGTGGGCAGGCCTTCTCACCTTGAACTATCATTGGAGAGGATCAGGGCAGACACTGATAGTGTGGCAGATAGTGGCAGCTACCACAAAACAAAAGAACATTTATTTTCAAGCGGAACTGAAGTTTGCATGTAACAGCTGGCCCTCAAAGTGATCCTTAGCAATGATACATAGTATTTCACTATACAACCAACTACCAAGGAAGATATATACATGTTTAAAAAAAAAAAAAAAAGTCTTTGTAAGATTGAGCATGAACCTCAAACATGTCCCAATGCGCACATATGCATTCACTCATGCCCCACTGAACTTTTGACCTGGTCGTGGCTGAACCCCTCCTGAGTCCTCTGCTGCGTGATGCTGTGTAGATTTGAAAAGAGGAGCCCTGTGCCTTGTCAGGCAACTGCATCTGCTGAAGCCAGCATGGGGGCTTGCTGTTCGACACCCCTCCTTCCCATAACAATACCCAGAGCCTGGCCTGATGGATGCACTTCTTTATCTGAGCCAGCCAGCTTCGTAAACCCACTCTCTTTCTCCAGGCTCTCACTACGCAATGATCCAGGAAAAAGAAAACAAAACATCTGCTTCCCAGGTTTCTGACATGTACAGCTGCTGATGGCAGCCCACATCTGGAAGCTTCACTTTCTTTCAGTCCAAAAAGAACAGGCAAAAGGTTTGCATTTAATAAGAAAAACAAAAGAGCTCAGCTGTATCACTGTACTAAAAATCAAAGGGAACTTTCCAAGCATCAGCAGCAAATCTGCAAGTGAGGCTGCCTTCCCCTCGTCCCTCATCACCACTGTGCATTCCAGCTAAAGATTACCTACCAAGGGAAGAAACATAGATTTGTATCTTTTTCCCATTTTAGCAGGATACATGGGGGGGTGGGGGGGGTCCACACACAAAATCTAGACACCATCTAACCTGGAGAACCTCAGGGTGACTGAGAACCAGAGGAATTAAGGAGACTAAAAAATAACCAACTGAGAAGGGCAGATATTTTTAAACAGAATCACGATTTACCTATTATTACAAATTTCACCAATTTAATTTAGTTGGCCTAATTAAGTGGCAACCTCTACCCCATCTCTCCTGTGTGTAAGCAGTTATGCCAGTATAAACATGATTATTAGTATAGCTTATTCTTGTTCACAAATCAAAATAAGTTATACTTGTTTAAAGTAGAGCATCTAATACAGTATCCACCCTAGGGCTTTTAACCATCCCTTAATGACTAGGCCAATAAAATTATAATACACCAGCCCCTACTTTTAGATTCTGTTGGCTGGTTGGTGGACTTTTGTTTGTTTTGGGGGTTATTTTGATAAAAACTGTTTGAACTCTAATGTCCAATCAACAGTTAGCAGAAAAGGTATCTTTGTTGAAGACTCCACCCCAATGATCCTTCGGTGAGATGTGCTAGTGCTAAATACACAGCAAAAGCCGAGAATGTCTTCCAGGAAAACCAAGGAAGACCAGAATGGACACTAGCAATATTTTAAAGTCAGAAACAAGTGAAAAAAGTCCTTATATCGCCTTCATACACTCATGAAGTAAAACAAAATATGTAAATGAAAAGTCTGTAAGTAACCTGTAAGGAATAAAAAAATTTTAATGGATAAGACCTATTTTACTAACAACTGTTATGAAGATTTGTTCACATGCATGGTGCAAAATGCCTTTCCTTCTACATTTTTGGAACAACTAGTTTAATGGGGGAAGGGGGAGAACGGGACATTAAGAAAAATCTATCAAGCATCCAAACTGCCTGCTTTAAACTGGGTGTTGGGCAGGGAGACGGAAGGCAATTCACCCTGCATAAGGGAAAACAGGAAGTTCTCACAAATGTCTCTCTCCTCTTACACCATATCAGTTTTAATCGTGGTCCTTCAACAAGTTTCCATATTACTCTTCTATCAGACAGGCTCCATGTTACTGATCATGACAGTGTGTCTCACATGCTAAATTTAATCCTTTTCAAGCCACTTTCAGTAAGGAACAATATGCTGTCCATAGGTACAGATGTTTCCAGGTAGGACTTGCACAGCCCAGTTCTACCCTGCTACATCCTCAGTACCGGCTTAGGCTTTCCTTCCCTTATCCTTCTCCCCACACTGCTACCCCACCAAAGGGGTCAATTTGTTCCAAATGATATTAACTCCCCCATCCTAAGCAAAGCCCAATTCCACTTCACTTGTGAAGCAATCCAGATGCTAATTGCCTCCTAAGGTGAAAGGCTAGTGCATTGGGCCTTTTATCATTGTAAATGCAGTTTCTTTGGAAGACTTTGCACTGCTGGGCCAGAGAATCTCCCCTTTTAAGGTTTTCCCATCAATTGGGGGGGTGGGGGGGGTGGGGGGAGTTCCCTTTGGCAGGGAGTTGCATCACTAAGAGATCTCCCCTTTCAAGATTTAACACTGCATATGGGATTCCCCCTCTTCAGAAATTCACATCCTGCTCCAAGAGTTTTGCCCTCCAAGAATTCACACATCCCATTGAACTTTAAGCATCTCTGGAATTCACATTCACTAGGCAATTACAGTCTTAGAAATGCTGGCCACCTTAGTATGCTCCCAGTTTACTGCCAGAAGTAGCACTGAGGAGAAAGACAAGGTGCTTTTCTTCCTTGCAGCGTTCAGAACATTTATGCCCTAACTACAAACGTGACATGTTCATGGTCAGACCTATACTCACACCAGATATCTGAAAACGGTTTCCCAACTTAGAAAATAACGATCCTTCTATCTCTTGCGGAGAGACGCAGCATCTGTGGCTTTTATGACTTCATTGAAATTTCCATTCTGCCCTCTACAGAAATTCTTTGGAAGTTGCACAATGAATATAACGTTCCTCTAATACATCAATCGCCCCAACAGGAAGTTTTTGGAGCACTTCAGCAGGCAGTTCTGAAAACACACACGCTCTCTCCTGGGCTCCAGAAGGGAGCATCCAACCCCTGATGGAGGCAGGAAAGAAGCTGGGTTTTTTTGTTGAGCTGAAGAGACCGGACAACTTCACAACACCCGATGCAGCTCCCTTCTTTGTGCGGTCCCGTTTCAACAATGCCGACCGCCCGGCTTGATCAAACCCGCGCAGGGCGCTCTCAGCCCCATCCCAAGATTTGCTTTCTTTCATGTCTCCAGCCCAGGGTGACACTAGCACAGGTCACCGCAGGACAAGCTCCTCCCTATCACGGCCACCATTTTGGGTCGTGTTTGGGGAAGGGAACACCAGTCCATGCTCTTGAATGCACAAGTTTCCAGACAAGGCACCACACGTGCTGCCTAGTGGGCAGGGGGAAGAAAACGCCAGGGCTGCCCACTGCCCACGTGGGTGGCAGACTCACACCGAGGTCAGCAGCGCCCCTCAAACTGGCTTCATTTCTTCTATGGTGAAGGAGTTCCCATCAACTCCCAACGTGTCCCCTCCACATCTTGCACCTTCCTCCTCCCACCCCCGGAACCCTTGCTTTGACCCAGCAGCATCTCCCACACCCACCTCCATTCATCCTGCAGCCTCCCGCCCCCCGGGAAGTTTGGAAAAGAGCCTCGGGGAGCTGGCAGTGCCCTCCAGCTGGTGCACCCCGCGGGGGACGAGCGCCCTCCTGCCCGCCTTCGGCGCCGGGC